AAGTCTATAAGTTGTGGCTGACTACCTTCTTCTTTCAGTTGTGCAAGAAACTCACGTAAAGGCTGTAAAGTTTGTACTTCAATGTTGAACTTTTTCTCGAACATCTCATTAAATGAAATCATACATTGCAACAATGTTGTATCGTCTTTAAAGTATTTGTATATGTGAATGTTTTGGGCGCTTAAAGACTGTTCGTCATTTTCTATCTCGACTTGAAGTATAAAGTCAACCTTTCTGAAAGCACGTGTTATATACATAGATGTTATGCCAATGTACTTCTCTTCATTTATGTTCACAATCCAGTCTGTTGGAAACTTAAACGTTACTCTGTTCCCCTTTATTTTGACGTCAGGGTTTTCACTACTGAACGCAACAGATAAAGGTATTTGTCTATACATTTAGTTCGGATAAAAATAAACCATTTACTCTTTCTTTGCTTCAGCTTCTTTAGCTTTTTGTTCTTCCTTTGCTTTTGCTTCTTCTCTAGCTTTCTTCGCCAGCAAACGTGGGTTCTTTTGTCTTCCAGCAGCTAATGCAGCAAGTTGTTTTTCACTAAGTTTTCTCTTTGGTCTCTCTGGCTTTTGTTCTTGTTTTTGTTCCTTCAGTTCGGATAAAATTTGCTCACGAATTTCTTTCTTCAATGCTTCAACATCTATGACCCCTTGGGTCTTGTCCGTAGGGCTTGTCTGAGTCATTTGACTGCAGATAAAAAACAAAATTAAAACTTTAACCGATGTAAAATGAGCTTGTCAAAATCAGAGCGAGAGTCTATTATATTAAATGACGCAAGAGGAATACAACATCCTTTCTATTACGTAAGTCAGAGTAAAGATGGTAAAATATACGTAAGAAAAAGAAAGGTTCCATTAGCGAATGCAGAAAGCGACAACATTAAGGTGCATGGCAAGGGCGAAGCCACGAAGCCCATATAAAACCTTCTGTTCAAACTGAGCCACCAAAAGAACCAGAAGAAAAGAAGCCAGATGTACTTTCAATAACGAACCAAGAGCTTATTGCAAAGTTTGTGAATTTCATTGAAAAACAAACCGAGTCAAAGAACCCTGACCCACCAGTGAAAGAAGTTGAGACAAAAGAGAATGTACAGTTCATTGAAAATGTCAAGAAACAACTTCCACCACGAATGCCAAGAAGAAGAGTGAGAATAATGAAGTAAATAGATATTTTTATCCGAAGTAAATACATGCAGAACGAACAGTTAAACGAATTTACTCCAGCAGAGCATATTCATCAGATTCGCTCATATTTCGAGATCATAGACAATGCAGTTCAAATTGGTGACACTAATAGAAAATATTCTGACGCAAAGATTCCATCACAACCTGGAACTGCTAAAGATAACACATGGGTAACATTCAATCTCTCACCTCCTGGTGAAAATATGTTGGACCTTTACAATACATTCATTACGTATAAAATGGAAGGTCAATTTATTGTAGATAAAGAAATTGGTTCAGGTTCCAATAAAAAAACCCACCAGGATTTTGGATTGGTTTCGATGACGCTTTCTATGCAGTTGCTGGATATCAAATCCTTGCAAATGGTCGTATCGTATATTCTCAAGACAACGCAAGAGAAGAAGCATATATAACTTCAAACTCACAAACTACCGAACAAATAAAGAAAGTAGATGTTTTCTCAAAGACTCGACATGAAGATGTATGGAGTCATTCGGGAACATGCAGAACAGGACAAATTGTTAGTGGTCCAATTACAGCAGGAAATCATTTGATTTTAAGCTTCGTTTAAGAATTCCTGTTAGAAGATTCCTTCCATTAGAAGCTATAAGATTTATTCCTGCATTTGCTGGTAACATTCAGCTTAAAGTAAAGTTCAGTAGCGACGCCTTACAATGCACATCTATATCTGTAAATGATATCATTGCTTTCAATCCAACTCTTAAAGTTGCATTTGCTTCAGATTCAAATCCACCGACAAATAAATTTGTTCCATGGAATGAACCATTCACTTTGATAACGAAGGCAGTAGAAGCTAGTGGAACAGTTACTATTACAACTGTAACCCAGCAACTATTTCGAACAAGATGGATTTTAATGAATGTTTCATTCATCCAAAGTCATTCTCTTTAGACCCTAACATTTATACAGAACTTGTAGAACATTATACAAACGAGGCTTTATGTTTTCCTGTTAAAGTTATGGATTGGATTCCTATGGACGGTTCATTCTCAAAGAATACAGATAGTTCAAGTGCAACATTTACAGCAGCTTATACGCCTATTAATGTTAAAAGTATTTGGGCACTATTTAGAAAGAAAGACAACTATTATGTTAATTTTGAGAACCCTAAGTTTAAATATCTTCAGCTTTCATGGGAGCTTATGGAAATATGCCTGCAGAACCTGAAAAATCATATGGACCTGTATTTTATGAAATGGTTGCGAACGCTTGCAATACAAACAATGATATGATAGGATTTAATGAAGATGTTATGAGGTCATTGGTGGATGATGGTAGTGTGGAACATAAATGGGATAGCTATGACAACACACATTTCTTATGTGGTTTTCCAACAGAAGTGGACTTTTGCTTCCAGCAAGGTCAAACATCTACTGCTCCAATAACATACAAATTGTCTGTTAAAGGACCTATTGAACTAGCAACTGAAAATGTACCAAAGCCACTTATTGGATTTATGAGGGATTGTTGCTTTGCCATTCAGGTGCGTGCTAATGGCATACCAATAATAAGATTAGATGACTATAACTTAGCTGCGGACGACAGTGAGGAATAAAGGATGAACGTTTATTTTTAAAGCTTATAAATGAGTTCTTCATCAAGCTCTCGTGAACCTTCACCATCTATGAAACAAACTTTACCAAACGATTATGGAGCACCTATTGAATATTTCTTACGAGCTGCACAATGGCAAAGAGCAGTCTCACCAAGGTTAGGTGTTCCACCAGCTCCTGTCAAAAATAGCATTTGGTCAAGTCCTTATATAAGATATGGTCTCCCACTAGGTTTGCTAGCTACAGCAGGAGCAGTTATGATGTTGAAAAGAAATAAAGCAAATGTTGTAAATAATACTGAAGTAGCTGAAGTTAAACAAACTCCAACACATTCGCCAAAACCAGCGCCTTCACAAGCAAAACCTTCAATGACTCCTGAACCTATGGAAGTACAAACTCCTGTTCAAAAGTCAACTCCTAAACCGACTCCAACATTTAAACCAGAACCTACTCCTCAAATAAATCGTAAAACTCCTGCGTTTCCTTACTGAAAAAATAACGTTATTTTTATTTAATATTAAAATTTTTATTTGATTGAAATGACAAATAAAGTCACTGAAGCAATGAAACAAAAGTTTTTGGTAGAATACATTAAATCAGGAACTATTCCAGAAGGTTTTTACATTCATACTATGAAGGATGGTAGAGTTCAGTTTAGAAAGATAAAGCAACCATTAGATAAAGAAGGTATATTAAGGAGATTAAACTTCATGAGGACAACATTGCTGAACTTAGGAAGAAGTTAGAAGAGTTGGAGAAAGGAAGAGAGTTATAAAGCAATGAATTCAACAGGGTAGAAATGAGGGTAGAAATGAGGTTAGATCTAACCTTCTACCCTAAATTTAAATGGATGTTTTCATACGTGTGGGAGTGGTGATATCATTAATTTTTAAGTTTATTTTTTTTTATTTTTATATAAATGACGAAAACTATTGAGATAACAAACTACAACGGTCATGAGTTCAAGAATTTGTTCTTCGTTCCTCGTGAAAATACATTCTATCAGATACGAGGGAGAAAGGGTAAAGTTAGTTTGAGCGTTTATGAAGGAATGAAGAATGGAAAGTTTATACAAGCATACGATACAAACGGTAAGCGTGTTTCATTAGCTTTGTCAAAACTTACAGGTATAAACTATGACAGTGATTTTGACTCTGACGATTGGAGCGACAGCAGCGATACTGAAGAATATGAACTATTGTGTGAAGCACAGCAATGGGAAGAGTTGCAATACTTTTGTAAGTGAGAACGTTTATTTTTACAGTAGTAAGGTGAAGTGGTTGGCGGCTTTATAAATATTTAAGGTTAAGTTGGTGTTTGTGTTTGTGTTGTAAAATATACGTTAACGGTTTTGTAAAGTGTCAAATTCACAAGTATTGCGTACGGAGGAACGCAGTGCCTCCGTACACGAGACTTGTATACTAACTTTTGTAATACCAAAATATCTTACATTTGTGATGAGGAATTGGCGAATAATTTAAACAAAGGCGCATATAATACACCGAAATATTTGATTTTCGAAAAAATTTAGGTTTTTCAAAAATTAAATCTTTCATTTGTAATGTATGAATAAAATGTATGTATTTGATATAATTGACACATTCGAAATTTTTATTCTGAAAAAAATAATAAACAATTTTTGGCTTTTGTGATCTGATAATCTGTAAGAATAAATACCGACAAATTTTATTAATATTCATCGTAAAAGTATTCGGCTCTTGATGTAAATAAGGAATATTTTTTTCAAAAGTTGCTTTTGAAGACTCTTTTATCAAGTAGCTGCATTTATTCATTGATAAGAAAGTATGCTGTACCAAAAATCGATAATTCACCACATTAACGGCCAATTTTGTTTTGCATTTCGACAAAAAAGCTCCTTTTATATAACATTACTGGGCGAAAATTAGAGTATCTACGATGACAAAACAAAATACATCAACTTGATTTTTTGCCGAGAAAAATGTTTTTGGAGGTACCAAAATAGGTCGCGAAAAGCATTGGTTTTATTTAAGGTTATTTTTTCTGAGGGGGAGCTATCGTCTATAGGGCACCCTTAAAAACGTGCATCATCCAAAATTTTTTTCTTCCAGAGAGAATTGTTCCCGAATTGTCTATATAATCTTGGTATTATTTCCTCAAAATTTTTGGATCCAATATTCTCTGAAAAACTATGAAATTTTTCTGAACTTTCTCGATCAGCCACAATCCAATTTTTAATCATTAAGTAATAATGTTTGCACAAGATAATTTGACTTTTGTCAGGAAGCAAAAGTTTAGTATTCACAGAGCTAGTTCAGCAATCACGATATTTAACAATGCACATGCATTTGTTCGTGATTCGATTAGTTTTCATAACCCAATCTCACCAGAACTTGCCAATAAGAAGTACCCAACATGCATTTCAGAACAAGACAAATTAAACATTTTAAATTATAAAGAAATATACTATCTTCACAACAATTCCAATACAAACGAAATTATTGAAGACAATGGTTATATTTTCTTTAACTTTAATAAAGCAAATCATATTGTCTTTCGTTATGAACAGATAGAACTCTGCGGAAGAGGCTCTTTCGGCACAGTATTAAAATGTTTTGATCACAAAGAGAAAACTTATGTTGCCATCAAAATCATTGCTAACTCCGAGGAATATAACTCACTAGCTGAGCGAGAAGTCCGTTTTTTGGAGACATTATCTACCAACAAAGAGACACAATCGGAAACCCACATAATCGAATTAATAGATACATTCTCTGACTCCAAATTTACATATATAGTCACAAAATTCTACAAACAGAACTTATACGATTATATCAAATCGAAATTTGTTGCTGGAATTCCATTCCGCGACATCAGACACATAGCTAAATCTGTTGCTAAAGCAATGCAACTCATCCACAGCTGTGGAATTATCCATTCCGACTTAAAACCAGAAAATATTATGCTTGAAGGCACAAACCCATATATTATTGACTTTGGCTGCTCATCTTTTGATGATGAGTGCACATCCGATACAGTTCAAGGCTTATACTATAGAGCTCCTGAAGTAATTTTCAACAATGGCTACAACTCTTCCATTGATGTTTGGTCATTCGGATGCCTCCTATTCGAATTGATCACAGGAACACCATTGTTCGAAAGCAAGAACGAAACAGACCTTATCCGCCAAATTACAAAAGTTCTTGGCGATCCATCACAAGAATTAATTAATTCCTCAAAAAAGATGAAGAGATACTGGTTCAGAAAACAGATCCATGTTGATAATGACGAATCCCAAAAGAATTCTTTTCTTGGAGAATTTCTTGGAAATACAAACACTGAAATCATTAGTGTTATCAGTGCTTGCCTTAAATGGGATCCTAATGAAAGACCAACATTCAATGAGCTCCTTGAATATCCATTCTTTAATTGAATGAAAAAAATTTATATTATTGTTTTTATATATTAGTAAATCATGTATATTATGTTAGTTTTACAAACATAGATTTATTTTTCCCATCTCGCATCGCAAATTAATGCGAAACAAATGAATTTTATTTTGACGGTCTGACGGTAAGTTCACCTTAAATATTTTTTATTTTATTTTTATTTTTAAAATCAAATATATTTCCAAAATGATTCCACAAAAATTTTTGCCAAAATTCTCAATTTTGAATTTATCGTCATAGCACGCCAGCAAGGTGTTAACACGCGAGAAACCATCAGACTGTGAGATTGTTAACTATTCACCCTCTAGTAGAGAAATATGACGTACTGTATTTGCTCAGAATGAGTACAATAGAGAAAAGAGATATTTTAACATATAGACATATAGACTTGATATTATATTTCTAAGTCTATTAAGATAGTCATTATGATAAATTTCTGAAATATGATACATCTAAGAGTTTTATTGGAAGATCAGGAATAAGAGTTTTATTTCAACCTGACAATGAGTAAACTCAAAACTGATTTCAGGGCACTTATTCGTTTATGAAGTTGATGGTCCATAAATTGATAAACAATCTGAAATTGGATTTTATGGACCGTTTATGCAGAATTGATTTTGGATGGATTATTTTGTGTTTTTGTATGATTGTGCTGATGTTTCACATAATAAAACAGAAACGGATAAACAGTTTCATAAAAATCAAAAAATAAAAATTCTGCATAAAATATATATGATACAGACAACTAATTAATAATATACAGGAAAAGTCCTAGAATTCCGGATAAAATTTTGAAATAAATAAAAATCTTATCATCCTTCATGAATATTCATTTTAATGAATTAAGAATAAATACGAATGGCAAATTTTTCTTTCAACATAAAATCCTTCCTTTCAATTTATCTGATGACAATTCAAATTTATGATATTTGTCAAAATAAAATTTATATGATCATCTATTGATGCTGAATCATTTTTGATTTTTCGCATAAAATTTTTCAAAAATCAAATTGACGTATAATTGGTATTTATGCATTATTGTTAATTGCTCATAAATTCTTTCAGTGTTGAAATATCTCTCAATTTTTTATGGCAGCGGTTACAACAAAAATCAAAATGACTGAACCACTCGTGGTTGTTCGCAATCCTCAAATCATGGAAAGAATGAGACAGCGTCGCCAAAGCTGTGCAGTGGATGATGAGAAATTCAAAATTGATCATCACCATCATCACAAACATCATCGTAACAGTACAACAATCTTATTGGATAAGTTTGATGAGCATCAGTTGCCTGAAATACAGGCACTATTAGCTGCAGTGCGCAAGGCCGCTGAAGCAAGAAGGAAGCGTTATTGAATGAAAAATCAAGCTGATTAGTTTTCAATCAAACCATGCGGATTGTTTTTATTATTGTTTTGTTTATAAATAAACGGATTTTCTTGTACTCATATCATTTTTCAAGTTTCAAAATCAATATTCAATTTTTGCCAAGTTATATGTCAAATCTACACTAGGTGTTCATTTGCATATGTCCTGTTTTCTGTTCTATATATTTACTAATATAACTACCAAAAGAATATTACAACAATCCCTAGCAGTTAAAGAAAAGATACATTCAATTGATTATAGAAACTAAATACTATTGGATAATATCTATTTAGGACCGATTCATCTACAAATCAATCTAATATAACCATGATAAATCATAATTAAATAAATTTCATTTTGGAACATTATGATGCATAATTTCAAGAATAGCTCCTGTAGCGTATTTCATTGCTCGAGTTGTATTACGAATAGTTTTAACCCCATCATCTGTTTGTATTAAATTTGCATTTCGTTACTGAACTACATCATTATTGAAAATAACTACTTGTATTATTATAATTTTGCATAACTGTTATAGTGTTTGTCGAACAAAAATTTGAAATTCACGAAAATAATTAACAAATATTTAGAACAATAAACAAAATAAAATGGTAACTATAAAACATAAACGCTAAGCAAACCTTCCTAAGTCTGCAATATTCAGTACAGATTGTAAATCAGGTAAAACGTTGATACAATTGTACCAAGTAGAGAAAGGCTCAATTTTAGCCTTCTCAGGGATATAATTAGCATCTTCCAAGTCAACAACTTGCAAAGGAGGGCAAGTTTTATAAGAATCAAATGCTCCATTATAATAATTCCAAACAACATTTTCTATGTAAACACTCGTCTGTATTTCCGGAAATTCCTTCGTTTTCTTCATTGAACCAACTTGCGAAATTGTTGTCACTTTTGCACGAACGGCACTTTTTAGGAAAACCGTCGCTGAATCTACCAAAAATTCATCTCTAGTGTTTACAGCCTGGAGAAGAGCGATCTGGATGCCTGGTGTTTTCTCGGAAACGTGGAATTTATCAAGCATTGCCGATAAAAGTAAGTAACTCGCTTGTGCTTCAGTAGAATCACCGTATTTAGTGATTTTTGCAAAGAAAGCAGCAGCATCTGAGATGTTCTTTTGGGATAGTTCAGTAACTGCGTGCCAATAGAACGTTCTGATGTATTTATCAGAAGTTGTGTTGATCAACATCTTCAAAGAAGTATCTTCAGCGGCCGCGAACACGGATTGGTACTTGCTCTTGTCTCCGCGTTGGTTCCAGACAAGAGGAGCTAAGCAAAACTGGATGAAAGGCAATAATATTTGACACCACTGTGGTTTCTTAACGAAACAGACACAAAGAACTCTTCTTACAATACTCAGTGATGATTCTGAGTTGATATTCGTCAGAATAATCAATAATATATTGCTGAAATCCATAGATGTCAATAATTCTTCTTTTTCGAACGCTTCTTTTACGGATAACAACGATGCTGAGTATATCGGACTCAACTCATCATCTGTGCATGCTAAGAATGAGCTTGTTATCTCTAATAACTTCATATTCAAGTTACTTTTGAGAAGCATGAGTCCGCTTGAGATAATAACGATTCCATACAGCTTTTCTGAGATAAATCCGTTGTTTGCTGTCATCAAATAGTTCAAACCGTTTTCATCCAAAACGGTTGTTGTAGAGTTATGTAAACTCTGAGCGAATCTTATCAAAGTCATAGCAATTGCCTCGTTTTCGTCCTCGTTGAGAGGTATTTGCAGGACATTGAGTAAGGCAAAGGCAGACGCTGATACAGGTAAGTCCAAACAGCACAAAGCCCACTTCAAGAGCATATCTTTCACTTGTACCATCTGTTCCTGACTGAAAGAGCTGTACCAATCAACAATCTGTTCAGGCCTGTGACCAGAAACGATGCCGCGAGTTAATTGGTCGGCGTGAGTTTGAGGGAAATTAAGGTAAAGGTGCTTGGAATTGGCGTTTATGGCCTGTTTGGTGATTGCCGACATCAATTCTTCGCATTTGTCCTTAAAGATTGGCCCTGTTATCAAAGCAAAAGCTAATATCAAATGTCTATGAGCCAAAATATCATCGGAGCCTTCGTCGATCAGCTGCGTTAATATTTCGATTGATACTTTCATGGTCTTCTTGAAGTCAAACTGCTGTTTTATGTAAGATGCGTTTAATGCGAACCAAGATTCAACTCTCGTGACAGCCAAGAGGTGAGGGGACAATGTAGAGCTCATAACTGTCAATACAAGTGTCAATGACGACAAAGTTTGAGGATATAAATCCTTTTTCACGTTAATTACGTATAATAAGTTGGCGAATGTCGTCAGAGCGTTGTTTGGAGAGCTGCTGGCCATGCCTGCGATGACTGCGGCCACTGCGGAGCTGAGTGGATCTGCACATCTCAAACTAAGTAAAGAGGAGATGAACGTGTAAGGTGTATAGCATGAGAGCATGCGAGGGCAGTTGTTAATAAGCGTTGATTTTGAGGAAAGATCAGCAAATTTCAACCATGGCTGCAATAAATTGAGTAATTTTGGAATTGCGATATCTTTTCCACGTTCTTGTGTATCAATGTTTGCTAAAACAACTGAATTTCTTCGATTTATCGCTTGTGGATGGAATTCTTTTTCCAAATGAAAAACAGCAGAGATAAACAGCTCCGACATCTGTGTGAAATAGTTTGATAGACACTGTGAAAGCAAACTTACTGATAAATCAATGTCAGAATACGAACTGCAGACACCAGATTTGTATTCTTCCAATTCCGCGATGAATCTCTCTGTTTCCTCCTGGGAATGTCCTTGAGAATACGTTCCAGAAGTGATACAGAGAAGGAGATTGAAGCCTTTCTCGCGTAAACTCTCATCTCCAAACGAAATCGCGGTGAATCCAACAGCAAGAAGCTTTCCGAACAAGAAACTGATCTGCTCGTTGCATATCTTCTCAGATGTACGCATTGTTATGTCGAACTGGTTGCAAATCGCCTTCAATCTGGATGATAAATTCACTGATTGGTCGACAAATTTTCTCAGAAGAGTGGAAAAGTGACTGGCAAGGATATTTGTGGAGAATTCTGTGCCGATAAAGAAAGGTAAAATACTTTCTGCCATTTCATCGGAAATATTTCCGAAGAAAACCCATTGTGTTAATGCATATTCAGCGCACATCTTCGGCCAATCCATATCAATGGACGTCATGTTGTAAATAAAAGTGAAAACTGAAGTATCGCAACATTCATGTTCGAAATTAGTTGGAGGAGAGTAACAAAGACCGAAAATACCTCTTCTTGGAGAGTTGTAGATGTAAATCAGCTTCTTAAATATGTTTCCAAGGGCAGCCAAGAACATAGAAATGGAAAACAAAGGCATTAGAGAGTCAGCTGTCTTGAAATATTCATTCTTGATAGTATGAGATGGTATTTCTGGGACAATTCCTTTCCTGTAGTACTTCAAAAGATTATCATGGAAATATTTGAAGCCAGGAGTGTATTTTTCTGCCTGCATCGTGCAGAACTCGTCATTAAGAGACAGAATATAAGCGAGAGAACACGCTGCTGCTTGTCCTCGTGGGTGATGATTGGCCAGATTTCGGAAAATTGCATCTTGGTCTTTCATTTGAACATGAGAAATCGCAAGAGCGAAGTAGAAATCTGTGTTTTGGTTGGGATTTATCACTCCATATGCTGTATTCATGATTGTATCGGGAATTGAGGAACAAATAGCTCTGAAACATAGAGTTAGACAATAGAAATATCCATTAGATATCGTTAGAAGTGTATCCGGACATGTATCAATTGATTCTAACAATTGTGACTCTAATTGTTGATCTTTCTTATGTAAGACCATGCAAAATGCAGCAAAGTATATGAAATAAAGAGCATTGTTCGATGAATTTGCAATATCTTTGAAAGATAAATCAATATCCGATAATTCTTTGCTTAAACCAACTCCAACGAACATTGCCGCTCTTTTCTGACCAAGTTCTGATATTTTATTCCTATTGGTAACGATAAATTTTGCAAATTGGCTGGATTCTTGAATTATCTCAACCAATTCCAAAGCTTTCGTTCTAGCGGCGAATGATTGTTGCAGAAGGCCGTAGAATATGAGCTTCTCGATATCAGCCATTGCTTGGAAAGACAATTGATATCTGAGAACCGGGATAATAATGCAAAGAGCGGATAGATTCAGAGTGATTTTCGGAGCGGTCAAAAATTCCTTAGACAGGCTGAGCTTCAGGATTGTGCTAATAATGATTGGAGAAAGGGGAAGAAGTTTTAATATGGAATACTGCAAAGCCCAAAGAGCTTTGTTACCGATATCAATATTAGGATGGACCAATAAGCTGATGAGTGACTTCAGAGAAGGCATTTCGTTGACTCCACTCTGATATGCAAATGTTATGTAGTTAATCAACGAATAAATCAATGATTTGTTATCGTCATATAATTCTGGATCGGGTTGTTTCTCATCATCTGCCTTTACAAATGAACTTTTCTCTAAATAATAAATTTGTTTTGTATATGTTGAAATTTTTCTTCTCCAATCGGCCAAATGCATACTAATATCAGTAGGAATATCGATTGTCATATTGCATTTTGTCTCCTTAAACGAAATAAACGCATTTGAAAGTTCATTTTGTCCAATATAGCTATCTAGAGGGTTATTGTTGCAGTTTGTCAATGAGGTATATTTATATGATGATTTGCAATTGACTCCAATCAAGTTAAATGACTTTACGTATCTATCAATATTATCTTCAACGGCAATACGCTTTGCAACTGATTGTAGGTCTTTGTATTCACCATGCATCAAGAAATAACTCATTTCGTCGAAGAAAAGAGAAGCGCAATAGTCCTTTTTCGCTTGGAGACTCTTTAAAAGCGTTTGGAAGTCAGTAATACTGACATGCGATATCTGGATGATGAATCCATGGAATTCTTTGGGGAATTGGATGTAATCTTTCATAGAATTGTTGATATATTGAATACATTTTCTGCAAATCTCGTTTGCTTTAGGAGAATACTCCCATTTCGAAATAGTATCGGGTATCTGAACATCGGTAGTGAAGTTTTGGCCTCTAACGGCTATTGTCATCGCTTCTAATCTGATTTTTGGATTCAAATTTGGGGAATAAAGGTATTCTATGGGTTTGTCAAGGAAAGATGATAACAATGTAATTACTTTGATCGAGTTCCGAACGTTTGAATCCTTTTCTATGTAGACAAGAATTAAATTGTAGATATTATTAATTCCTTCGTTAGTTTTTAGTTCCGGAAGTACGGATAACAATTGTCCAAAGACATTGTAAAGTAATAATGCTAGTAATTCTCGTTTCGAAGAGTCACTTATCGCTGATTCGAATCTTGTTTCAATAATTTTGAGAAAATTGAGTAGATCTTTGTTGATTTCGGATTCTTCATCGAAAATTTTGACTTGCGAACAGTATACAGCGAAGAAATATGAAATTTCGAACGTAGAGTCCAATTCGCAGTATAAAATGTTGTAAGTTGTTGCTGCAGGAGCATGTACTGATATTTCTGCAGCGACGCTGCACCATGGTTCAGCTAAAAGTTTAATAATTTGCTGCATTTTTTCTGGATAAACAGAAGCATCGATGTTCATGTTATAAATTGAGCCCATTAAGAAATCCATATCTGATCTTTCGAATTTCTCAATTCTACGGACAATGTTTGAAATTAAACTCGCAAATACGCGAGCAAATAGGTACATCATCAAATATTTAATAATTTCGTTTTCCCACTCTTCGCGGTGAAGAAATGTGCAGCAGAAATTTGTTGATAAATCCTCTGGATAAGAAACTTGAGTAAATTGTGAATATCCGTACATTTTATCAAGAATCTGGAAGCTTTTAATTGGATACTCTGATCCAGCAATTGCTGCAAGATCAATACATCGATTCAACTCGTTTGTATCGAAGTTTATTGTCGGTAGAAACTCCAGAAGGGATGCGAATGAATCTGGCTTAAATGACGAAGATATATCATCAAATAATCCAATAACATGAAGAGAAACAAGCTCTAATTGGGATGTAAAAATGTTTTCTTTATCCAAAGAGCTCATTCAATTTTAAAAAGTGACATCATATATAAAATCTGCCGGATGTGGTTGTTAACATTATGCTGCCATAATTGCAACTCTTGAATAATCTCGAATAAATTACAGAATCTCTATTATCGCCTCTGTTTGTTATTCCACTCAAACATTATCAATTTAAAGATTTGCTGTGTAATATTTAAAAATATAGCTGTGTATAATTTGAATTTGCTATGAGTTTGTTGATTTCATGCATAACATCCTCTCTTTTCAATATATAAAAAATATTCATTATATATAATTCTTATTAAGCTGAAACTATTTATATTAGCTTATTACAATGAAAAATAAAGATTTTTCAATTCATGTACACTTCGGTATGAGGTAATTTCTTTCCATTCGCAAACAGAACAACAATGAATAGCAATATAAAAATGAAGAAATAAAACTTTTTTTTCGAATGGCTTCTTTTGAATTGAAAAGTTTTCTCATTTCAATAAAGGAAGATGTCACCAAGCTATCTTGATTGAACCATTTCTTATGTGATATATAATGGTGTGCATTTCACTATTCTCTTGCCTGATTTCAACTATTTGAATTTGATTTGTTAAATATCAATGTTTATCTAATTTCAATAATAATGACAAGGAAAAACAAAATGCATGCAAGGAAAGAAGAAACAAAAGAATATATTCTAAAATATGGGCGACTTACTGCATATCATAAAGCATTAGAACAAGAAAAATGACAAATGAAAATGCACCATTATTTGTGCTTATTATGAGCAGATATTCAGAGTCAAACTGGCGGGAGATGAATACATATATAGGAGCTAACTCGTTCATTAAAAATGTTTCTTGCTTGAAAATGTGGAAGAAAAGCAGCTCATCTGATAACACATATATTCTAATTTATAAATGGAACGGTATGCGCTTAATTTATATGGTATATAATATATACAAATTAACAAAATGCTATTTCCTTCTCCTTCTAATTGTTCATGTCTTGACTTGGGAGATAAAGTTAGAATTTCAAAAAGAATGCATGTTACACAATTTTGCTATTAAAAAATAATATACATTTTTGTCAAATGGAGAGATTCAGAGAGTAAATGATGATGCGTCACTTTTTCAAATTTGGAGAAGATTATTTTCCACACGAAATCCTTACTTGGCTTGATTTTAATGGAGCCTCAAATAAGAAAACAATAGGGTTGCAAATTTGGAAGCACAGCATAAATTTGGAAGAGAAAAAATTCATTTTTGGAAGATTTTCTGGAAGTTAAAAGATTATATGAATATTCATTTGTTGTTAAGATTTATATGATATGTAATGCTTGTTCATAAGATAAATATGCTTGTATGATAAATAATTAAATTATTTCTATAATCACTATATCTAACTTTAATTGATATTGATGAAATTTACTATATTTCGAAAGGTATTGAATATTCTTTATAATACAAAAGAAAAGGAAGAAATCAAAACAATTTCATTTACAAATGTTTATATAATTGGTAATCTAAAGAGTTAAAACATAATATTAAAGATATAAGATGCAATTCCTGCACTGTGGTTTTCAATCTCTTCTTAGGAAGCAAAATAAGATTCCAAATTTTGGGAATCTTTCTTTCAATCAACTATAATGTGTACATGAAATATTGTGAATGACCTCTTTATAGCATGCATGAAATAGTGAATTTTTATTTACTTCCAGATCAAGAAAAAAATGTAAACAATTCAAATTAACTTCCAAAAACTTTTTCCTATATTCAATTTTTTGATACCAAATATGTTCAATATACTATTTTATGCATTTTTATTAAAAATTATTTTACAGCTTCAAAAAACTTCTTCTTGAATTCAATTTTTTATAATGAAATGTTGTAGAATATCGTTTCTAAATGCACTTTAAAACATATTTTTATAACTTCCAAAAAGTGAACGTTACTTCCAGCCCTTGAATTTTCTCCAATTCTCTCTCAAATTTAATAAGCCAAGAATTTTGGAAACTTCCAAAGGAAATTTCCAGACAACGATTAGGTCATTAGCATTGCTAATTCTTAAAGATGCTCAAATCATGGTTTAAATGGCTCAGTATATATTATCGTATGTATTGGCTGTTATGAAAGACACCGAAAAAATTCCAAAAAAGTTCTGGATTTCAAAATGTAAAGTAAAAAAATAATTTTTTTATAATTGTCTTTTAGAAGTTGTGTTTTTTGAGATTGGAAACTTCTCACTTTTTTTCCAAATTTGCAACCCTAAAAACATTGATTCATTGTAGTTAGACCGAGAAATTGTGAATAAATTTTGAATCTGAATTTTTACTATGCATCGTATATTTTTTATTTTTACATTATCAAAATGTAAGCAAACGCGTTTTCTCACAATTTTGAGAAAGAACACAATAAATTCAATTTGAACTTAGTACATTGATATCGATTTTTTAAAATTATATAACCAACAATTATTGTTTTTATTTTTATTTTTATTTTTTTTTTCTGATTAATGAAAAATTGTTTAGAATTCAATTAATTCTAAAAATTAAATGAGCTTTTTTATATATTTACACCTTACTAGATCAATCAAGAAGATCTCTTCCATCAATGTTACATCACGGCATTACTCTGGGAGTATTTCAAATTTCACTGATTTGTTTACAGCAATGCGAGAACTTTATGAAGAAGAAAATTTAACGAAAGCAGGATTTTTAATAGCTAAAAACTCAACTTCCATTTATGGTTATGAAAATGACCCAAGTGCAGGTCGTACGACAATCGATTCAATATTTTTGGATCCCGTAAAATATGCTGGGTTACGCTTTCTTACACAATTAAATGATCCTATTATGGAGATATCTTTTGATTTTCTCTCTTCAAAAGTATTTCTTGAAGGATATACAATAACATATTCGAAAAAAGTCAGATTTATGCATCATTATCAATTATTTGGTGAAGCATCGCCAAATAATTGGGTAATCATTGATGATCGTGTATCATCACAAAGTCAAGATCTTGTAGAGTTGGGTCAAATAGGTGATGAACCTCTCAATTGGGCAGTCCATTACTCTCTCCCTACTCAAAAAAGAAATTATTCTAAGTTTAAATTGAAAAATCTTGACACAAATATGGGTGAATTTGGTGGAGCTGATGTAGTTCTCTCCAAACTATTGTTTTTTGGAACACTATATCCGGGTAAAATAATGTATACAGCAGAAAAGGTCAAAAGAAAGGATCAAATGCTATTTAATTTTGCAATGTTCTCTAATTTTTAAGGGGAATAAAAATTTTTCCATGTTTGATATTGTTTACATGATATTCAAGTGTTATCATTAATTCTCCATTACACATTAATATAATGATGGCAGTTTTTTGAATAAAAAAAAATTATAAAAGTAGTTAATACAAGAAAATGTTTAAATCTGAATCAGATCCATATGAAACACATATATCTGTGAAATTTATAGATAATCAAATTTTATATTTTTGATTTGATTGGATTTAACTCCTTCCTCTAATAATTAACATGGAAATGGTTAAATTGTCATACAGATTCAATTCAAATATTGCAAATCCGATAAAAATCGATTTACACAATTATCGTGATTCAATCCGATACAATAGAATTTTCGGAATAATGGCTATCAATAAGATTATAATGTGATAGAATAAAAAGTAGGTTTTTAGAAATTTTGCCAATATTGAAACTGTTAACATATGTCATTCTTTAGAGGATGTATTCACTAGAAAAATGGAGAACTAATGTTTGGATGCGCATAAAAAAATAAAAAGTTAAAGAATTTTATGTTGACAAGTAAATTATATAGATTCTATAATTTCAAATTTAATCTTAGTGGCGGATGAGTTCCTAAAGCCGCTAATTAAGATTTTTCAAGGCATCATTTAAAGTTCTCGGAAATTTTGAAAGGAGGAGATATAAAATTTGAATATTCATTCACAAATATTTGTGTAATATATCAAAAAATAGGTATTCAAATTGTTTATCATTTTAAATGCAATTAATTCTAAATATAACTCGTCATCTAAGTCATTAAACGACCAATCGTTTGGATTTCATACTTTGAAAAATCTATTTCAACTAATATTATTGCACACATTAATCCTAGTAATTGTCAATTGAAGTAAATTTTGTCACCCATTTGAATTATTTCTTATTCAATTTTTTATGATCTTCTAGTATTTGCCTAGTTATTGAACAAGCATATCATGAAATCTAATTAAATTGAAATATACCCTTAATTGAATACATTTGTCAAAATTCATATTTCAATACATTTTTATCAGAGTGCTGGACAAATTTGCCAAGTGTCACTTTTCAATAACCTTAAATTACGTTTTTCTAATTTTAAAAATAACCTTAAATTATATTTGAAGAAATTATGTCTATATGATATATGTTTTATGCTAGAATCTTGGAGTTTTCATGCACTACACAAGAGCTCCAAGGTTCCAAGAGTGAATGCTCAATAGCAATTATAGAGATGTACCTTTTCAAAATGACTTTTACTGATTAAATTTAATCAATAGAAGACATTTTGAAAAGGTACCTCTACAATTAGATATACAAGAGATTCAATGCTTCATTTCAGATAGATTTGAAACTTTGAAACTCTTGGTAGATTTTGAGTGAATGCTGACAATCATCTTTGAGAAGGTTTTCTTAAAGAAAACCTTCTCAAAGAGGTTTCTCAGGAGCCCTGAGGCTCCCTTTCGTAATGATTGGGAGCCTTGGGGCTCCTGAGACGAAGAATGGCTTCGCCGAATCTTTGATCAGCAGAGGCCAAATGAAAAGGCCTCTGCTGATGGATTCTCAGGAGCCCCGAGGCTCCCTTTCGTAATGATTGGGAGCCTTGGGGCTCCTGCAGCAGAGTATCGCTCCGCTCCATTAATTTTCTTTTAAAAAAGTGCCGTGTGGCAAATTTGTCCTGTTCCCTTTTTATCAATGTTTAGCATTGAAGAGTTACTTGCCAGACCTGTTTCATTCAAGATACCAAACATGTCCTATTCCTCACCACCTCGAAAGGAATCTACTCACTCTACTAAAAGGATAATTCATGATTCTCACAATATGAGCGACGAACTTGTCAGAATTAATCAACTTGTCAAAGATTTTAGTGTAAACAAAAGCAACGCATGGATATACCCCCGTTCTACATATGGTGAAAAAATAACTCACAACGAATTGATTCGCATTGCCAAAATTGTTAGTGCTTATACTGGCATAAAAGTTAGTCGCGATGCTAAAAGAAGGAAAGTTGTGCTATTAAAATGGTTTGATGAGAATTGGGCATCGATCAAACCAGTTTTAGCAATGGTTTCCATATAATAAGTGAAGATGTGTTTGTTTTATTAAGTGTATCCGTGCTTTCACTTTATACTTTATCCAAAAATTGTTTGAATAAATCTATTACTTTCCTAATTTCAATATTTATATTCTATTTTATCAATTTTATTTGCAGTTGAGCTTTTCGGTAATTATAATATATATTACATTTGTTGGTGTAATCAGTTTGTACAGTTGTTTTGGTTTTCTCATGAATTTTTGATTTCAAAACAAAATTTCCGAAACGATTGAGGGGCAAATTATATTTTTTGTTTCGCAATTTATAATAAGATATAATAAATATTATTGTTTCACAAATAAAATGATCAATGGACAAATCCAAAGATTCAATTCTGAAACAATACAACAAGTTTTTATCGATTTGTTATCGTAAAATAGTAAAAATGATTTAAGTAAAGAAATATATTGTTGGTTGTACAAATAAATTTAATAATTTATTGAAAGAATAATAAAAAAATAAAAAATATATTAATATTAAAGAACAGACATACTTACAGAGGTCTGCAAAGGATAGTTTGCATCAACTAAACTAGAATTCTGGAAAACAACATACAAATTCTGTTGTTCTTGTATCAAATCATACAAAATTATATCTTTTCTATCTACAAGCTTCTTCTTCGTGCTGATATCAGGTCCTTCTATATATATCAGCATATCCGACCTCGGAGGTATCAAAACCTTTATAGAATAGAAGATTCTCAAGCAAGTTGTTTCGTATTTTTCGTCTTTGTTCAAAATGAAGTTGAACGGACAAAGGAAGTTCTCTTCTCCACTCTCTCTTTTGTCCTTTCTACCGAATCTGATCGAAACAACCTTCTGATTCTCTTTAATTTGGGTTTGATTGATAACGTCTAGTTTAATTACCAATCCGTTATGTAATATGTACTCATTTAGCTTCATTAGTTCTGTTGTCTTGCTGTTAATGACTCTGTATGCAACCAAAAGTTGGTTTTCATTATAAATCTTCAAATTGTAGATTCTTTGGAAAAGATTGACGACATCTGTAGCTACCGAGATAGGTAAGCAAAGACTTCTGAGGCACATCTCTCCATTAAAGCAATATAGCGTTACTTTGATGGAATTTTCCAAATTATTCTCATTAATTGTATTGATAAACTCTATATTGATTCTGTTCGATGAAATGAATCGAACAAGTGTTGCCAATCTCATGACAACTGTTGAATTCTGTGTCTTTATGTCGATAGGAGTGTTTGTGCTTGCATTGTAGATTGCAATGCTATTCTCCAGTGGATTGTAGTTGTATTCATACAGTTTGGCAAGGATCTGCTTCGTTTCTTCAACTGTATACTGAAGAGGAATGAAAAGATTTTTGGTGACACCGAACATGTCACTGACGGTTAAATCTGACAGAGTGACGTAAGTTGTAAAGAATTTTTCAACGGATGATGTATCGATTTCGGATGTGACCTTGATTGCGTTCGGCGAGCATTTCTTCGGAACAAGTTGTTTCTGACATAAATCAATGTATTTTCCGAAGGGTTCAAGTGGTTTCGATGGTTCAAAGATCAAAACATTTTCACATGAGCCAGCGGTTGCTACTTTCAAGTTATTCAGCTTGTCAATCTCTTCAACAGTCGTATTGTTGTTCTCCTTGTAAACTTTGTACTCACAATCCTCAGGCAAATTCAAAATTTTCAAAATTTGTTTGAAATTATGCGCAACAGTCTTTGATTCATCGCAATTATACGGTATGAGTGTCAAATACTGTAGCGGGGGTAGCTGGTTCTTGAAGAAAACTTTGATAATTACGGGGATAATGCTAATTCCTGTTTCAAACTGATCGATATCGCTTATGAATACGCGGAAGTTGTGATCGCGATCGCTGATCTTGATGTACGGGTCTGGTCTGATGATTGTCTGTGGAATTCCTCTGTCGGAACAATTGAAAACGATAGAATTGTTCGGACACTTTTGTTTTTCTGTGATAATCTGAATGAATTCCTTCTGATTTGTTGAGATTTTGACATCAAAGTCTTCTTCGTATTTTGTGATGATATTTCCTGTTTCCGAAATTGATCTGGAAATCGAGTCGGGAGTGATAATCTTGCAATTCAGGGTCTTGGACATTTTTTCTAAGTGCTCCTTTTCCTTCATTTCGTTCATGATGGTCAGTAAATCCTTCGGGATGTCGGCGATATTGTAATCAAAGAAAAGTTCGCTGATTTTTGACTTCCTGGCGTAAAGAACTAAATAAGCGCAATAATTTATGTTACCGTAGTTGCCATCTATGGCTTCTTGCTTGTTAGAAATCGAGACATTGTAATCATCGAACTTTACCCAATCGTAATGACCAGGGGACCTTACAAACACGTAGTAGTGGCCATCGTCCATCTTCGTGCCTCTATGTACGACAACTGCAAAGGCCTCATATTCTGTATCTTTCGTTTCTGTTGTATATTGTGACATATCGAGGTCCTGGTAGAATTCGTACTTCGAAGTAATCTTTTTCTGTTGAAATGTTGTCCGATCATATGTAGTTCTTGCAAGATGAACTAAAATTATGTCGGGAAGTTTGGAGATGACATGTTTTATGATTGCTTTTTGAGGCTTTGCACCTTCAACTGATGGCACGTAGTCGGGAATTGTGTTTTTGTCTGAAAATTGGTTGAGAGAATCGTAAATATCAGCAAATCCTTCAACAGGGAGTAAAAGTTCGCTAAGAATCTCTTCTCTTTCTGTTTGGTAGTTGATTTCGGGGCATGTAATAGTTTTTTTGATTTTTCCTTCGAATAATGAATTAAATTGTCCTTTAAATTGCGTATCTTTAACTTCGTTTTCAATTAAATTAATATAATCTGCAAGGAATTCCTGTGCATCGTTCTGTTGGCTCTGATAATCTTTATAAGTTTTGAATTCAGGCAAAGTTAGGAGTTCTGTTGTAGAGCAAGCCGTGCTCTTATACATCAGTTTGTAGAATAGACGTTGAGTAGTGAAAATTACGCCACTTGGAGGATTTTTGGTCGGAGGAATATCAAAGAGAAGTTTTTTGAATTTGCTGAGATGAAATAGAAATTGGAGATCTGTATTTACGTAACAGAGTAAGAAAGCGCTTTTGAATCCAACAAAGCCAGTAACCTTTTTCTGTTCTCTGAGGCGATTTTTTTCGTCTGCGAAATAGAGTAAGTTCGGCTGCGATTGGCTAACAGGGGTTGGTATAGTTTTGGAAAACTCCAAAGAAAACGAGACTTTTAATATATTATCAACGATAAAACCTTTGCTTGGATCGTGTAAATCACTTTTCTTGATGTTAAATGATACAGTAAATGTATTCGATGTTGGAGATAAGTCAATCTTTCCTTCTTGTTTAATTGCTTTTTTTACGCAATAATGAACAAAAACATTATAATGTACAGTCTTCACTTCGTTTAGATCAAGAATTGTAATAAGAATCTTGAATGGAGTATTGGAATTTTCGACCGTGAAGTTGACATCAAATCTGATATTTTCAGCACGAAAGATACTTTGGATCAAATTATCTTTCTGATTCAGTGCATTAAGTATATTCCACGTAATTTTCGCTGTTTCATTCCCCGTTATTGGGTTCTTCTCATATCTTGCTTTTCTCTCTGTCATATTGATTTTTTTTCCTTTTTTTTTGTTTCGCTATTTGACTATTTAATCAAACAGCAATTAGGAATCACATGTTGAATACGTTTACAGCGGTCGTAGTAAATGGAACTGTTTAGAATTGGGAAAGTCAAGAAAAAGAAATAATTAAAAAAAATTGAAAAAGAAGAGAATGAGAACGAATGAGATGAAATAAATTGGTCATAAATAAGTGAAATTCAAAGTTTTACCAATGGGGGAAGGTTTTATAAGAAACGGTATTAGAGTGGAATATGACAATGAAAATATTACGGGATTTCCTCCTGTGGATAATAATGTATCGGTACTATGGCCGAGTGGTCTAAGGCGATGGATTTAAGCCCCATTATCGCGAGGTGCCTGGGTTCGAACCCCAGTGGTACCATTTTTTTCATTTTTCTCGCGGATCAAAGATAAATCTAGATCTAAGTGATATTTGCTAGAATCAGCAATTTTCTATATGTAATATTAATATTGTAAATTGCAATTCTTTGCAAATCAAAAGGTTTGACATGTTTTTCAACTTTGATAAATGTGACATTTTTAATTACAAAGGTTATTAAACAATTTTATATAAATGCTATACTCAATGACTTGCATTTACATCGTCATTATCCCCTCCATTAGTTGTTAAGTAACAATTATTAGTTTTAAAGCAAATGAAATTATTTATACAATTTTCTTTACCAAAGATATAAATCTATGACTGATATTACATTTGAAAATGTAGGCGAATCCTCATATATTGTAAGAGGGAGTGGAAAACTCCCAGTTCTTAAAAGTAATACTGATGCAATATCACTTGATATCAGAGGTTTCTCAACATTTGAGGAAGCTGCATTTAAGAATTTTAGAAATTTAGTTAATATAACTTTCGATGATAGCTTGACTGTCATAGCAAATATGATTACTTTTGGTACAAAAGTTGTTTATTTTACGATACCAAAGAATGTCCATACATTGATAGCCCAACCATTTGATAATGGAAATGAACCAATGATTCGAGTATTTGTTCACCCGGAGAATAAATATTTCACCGATATTGACGGAGTTGTTTATTCGAAAGATTTAAAAAAGCTATATTTTTATCCAGGAAATCATGGAGAATCGTATGTAATTATCCCTAAACATGTAGAAGAACTTACCATTGCATGCATAGGATTAAGCCATACAATCAAATATGTTAGAATTCCAAGCTCTGTGAAAGTGATTGAAAAAGCACTTTTCCTTAGTATATATATATTAAAACAATAATGAGAAATTTCAAGTGTGTCTGGAGAGAGTTATTTCCGAATGCACATATGATGTTTTTCAACTTTTTCAACTTTTTTGAAATCATTCGTTGTTATATTGATGAATTTTTTCGATTTGTCATAAAAATTGAAAAAAGTCAAGGAAAATGATAGAATAAATATGCACATTTTATAGGCAGTTCGAATGATCATCCAAACAAAATATTTTCAAATAATTATTATTTATCCAATAATTTGATGAATTTTCATTTTTTAAAATAATATTATATTCTTTATTTTTATGCAGTAATTAATATGATTTCAATGATAATTATCATTATTTCTTGACATTTGAGTCTGATAATCTCATTGTCAGATTACTATTCAAATTAAATTTATCGGCGTGAATCGTTATACAGAATTTTAATAGCAAGCTTGTTTATATGTGTTATTCCATTGAGTATGTTGAAATTATCAATTATCAAAAGAATATCAAATGGGACTATAATATGCTTTTTGAAAGAACTGATAAAGACAATTCCACTTTACATTTTCATCCAGAAGAAATAATGACGAAGATTTGTCAATACTCATTGAATTTGAACAATCTTTATATGAATAGTTTTGCTGTTTTTATTTTAATGTAATAAAAGGATACTTTAAACCACCACATTGAGATTCACATAAACGACAGATAAATTTATAGATTATAATAGGCTTGATATTGGCTAGAAACAGTACTATAAATGCAATATTTTTGAAAAATGCTCTCGATATTTTAATAGCAAAAAAGCATGTAAGTATTAGATTTCTCATAGATATAGTTCACTCTCAGCTTATAAAGACTAAATGATATATAGAATAAAATATAGATTACATATTTCATAACAGATGAATTAACAAAATCTTAAATAAAAGGAATGCTATGGTTTCTTAAAGAAATCTAAGACATAAAATTAATACTTAATCTAATATTGCTACTCAATGGAATAAGATTCTGAGTCTTATTAGAATATTCAACTTTTGATGTAAAAATTGTTTTATTGAGAAATTTGATATGTCATTAATATTTTTATTAGCAATGCTGATATTTTTTATTTACTAACTAGAATACTGTGATATTTTAATAACTGAACCAAGATTTCTTGACTTCTTACGTCTAAAAACGTTGTAAAAATGAATTATTGCCAATTATACGACATATTAATTTTCAAAAATTTTTTCAAAATCCTGATTTTCATCTGAAAAATTAATTTTCCATATTGATGTTTTATTTTTTTCGATTTTTTTTTTGAATTTCAAAATCATAACAGTGCAGAGATCTCATTATAGAATGCTTATATATCTTGAAAGATGATCAATTAAAAGAGATTTAGTTTAAAAAAATTTTCAATCCGAAATATCGACCAGATATTCATGCAACATAAGTGAAATTGTATTATATAAAGAGTTCCAATGATTAGATAATGTAAAATATTATACCAAATATTGCATAAATTTAGTATTTTGTCTAGAAATTACCTCAACGCTAAATGCTACTTAATTTTATATCTATGATATCGGATTTATATCAGATTTATTCATAGCATCAATGGGTGTTATCCTTTTGTTAATGAATCATGCAACAGAGATTTTACTCGCAGAATATCTATTGATGCAAATATTTATTCTAAAATTACTGATTAATACCAATGTTATTCAACAATCTGTCAAAATTTTTGGATATTTTTCACTAAAAAGCAAATCCAAATTTTGTATTTTATTATCTATACTCCTTAAAATAATTAGAATCGAATTCCTAGAATAGAACTCAATAAATTTATAGAATAGTGAAAATTTGTATTGGTTTGAAGTAAAAAATACTAAAACAGGCGAACAACAACAGGCCATTTTAATGGGTGATCAATCAAAGATATAAATGTAAATGAGATTAGCCACTGGTAAAAGTTAATTCTGGTTTATTCCTAAAAATTAAAAAAGATGTCTTTAGCATTGGATTGCTTCAACTGTTGATGCCTTCTTAATGCATTATTAAGAAAGATTGGTAGCCAATACCTCATAGGATAAGGTATGATAAAATAAGACAATAAAGTTTCCTTTTCTGTGTGTTAGTTTTGTTTTTAACTGTCGAGCTCAGACAAAAATGTCATCATTAAAATCAGATGACCCTTATTGTATCCTCCAAGCTCGCGAAAGATTACATACTTGGCCCAAGAATGAAAAGAGAAAAGTTCAGAAATTTCATCGGTTTTTTTGAACTCCCGGTTCTTATTCGGAATTTCAGAAATCATTCAATAGAAAAAAAAAAAAAAAAAAAAAAAAAAAAGGAAGTGGGGCTTCCAGGCACTTCGTGCCCTCTAGCCCCGAAGATGTTTAGTATAAATGAAGTTCTTATATACGGGTCTTCCAGGAGCTTTTCACAAATTATATATGTTTTCATGTTTTGTCAAGACTTCTTCGTAAAATCAGACAAAAATAATGTTTAGGGTAGAAGGTTAGATATAACCTCTTTTCTAACCTCTTTTCTACCCTCTTGAATTTTCAAGACTTCTTCGTACATGTTTTGTCACTTTTCTGTCACTTTTCAGGAAAAAACATTTTTATTATATATATAAAATGAATTTTACAAAACCACCGTTACCCTTCTTTGGAAATAAGAGTAGATGTAAAGATATTCTATTGAGAGAACTTAAGAAACTACCGAATGGTCTAACATTTGTAGATTTGTTCGGTGGAAGTTTCTATATATCTCATTTGTGCCATACTGTATTTCCTGACTCAAAGATTATATGCAATGACTTCGACAACTATATGAACCGTCTCAAACATATACCAGACACAAACAAAATATTGAAAGAGTTGAAAGAAAAGATACCTATAGGTAAGATGGAACGTATACCATTAGATAAGAAAAATACTGTCAGAGAGGTTTTGAAAAAGGCAGAGTATATTGACTGGGATAGTATATCTGCTAGACTATTATATAGTGGTGCTATAAGAGTTCATGACATTGAAACACTTATGTCAAAAGTTTTATATCTTAACTATACAAATGTTTTCAAAGAGAACATAGAAAAATATATTGAGGGTATAGAGTTTGTGAGATGTCATTGGACAGAGTTGTATGAAAAATATAAAGACAAGGAAAATGTTTTCTTTATAGTGGACCCGCCGTTCTATAACACATGGGATTTTCAATACCAAGTAGACTGGACTTTGAGAGACTCTTTAGAAACTTTAGACGTTTTACATAACCATCCATGCTTTTACTTTACATCCGATAAAAGTGGTTTGGAAAGTGTCATGAGATGGTTAGAGGACATACATGACTATGAGTTTAGATACGATAAGATAGAATATGAGAGAGGTCCTATAAACTGGAGAAAGTGTCATAACAAAGAAATTTTACTAGTAAGTAAATGTGGTTTGAAATAGGACTACTTGTTTTAGGTTTTTTCCATTGTGTCATTTACTTATTTGACGTGGCAGAAAAGTACAGAGAATATGAAGATGAACCAATGCCTGCAAATGTTCAGTATATGTACTCGTAAGAGATATTTTTATCTAATATTAAATGGACGCACAGAACTTAGCGAATGCACAGCAACCTGGACAACCAAACCCAGAGAATATTCCAAATGAAGTTAGAATACAAACTGCAATGGCAAACTATGGTCAAGTGCCAACAGATGTACAAATGCAAACTGCCATGTCAAATGACGCTGCGTTAGGTTTGCCACCATGGTATGCAAATATGAGATGGAAAGAGTTTTATACAAACCCCGAAGTGGGATATAAACAACTTTATGCAGATGACGCGAACACAGGAGTTGACCCAGAATATGTTTTCTACCAGAGGAGAAACAGAATGTATGAGCTCCAGTTAAAGAATGCTATGGAACTCAACAGGAAACGTAAGAGACTAGGCGGACATTAGATTTTTACATATAGTAAAATGGGTTTCTTCAGTAAGATAGGAAACTTCTTTCGAAATGTTGGAAGAGGTATATGGAATGGAATAAAAACCGTAGGAAGAGGAATTTGGAACGGAGTCAAAAATATTGGTAAAAGAGTAGGTCAGTTCGTTGGTATTATACCTAAAGACCCTGAACCAGAAGAACAAGCTCCTGTTATACAACAGCCTGAACCTGCACCACAGTCTAGTTGGCAACCAAATCCAACACCTCAACCGTATTAAAAAATTATATTTTTACCGTTCGATAGTAGTTGTATATGAAACTAAGTTCTAAGTAAAACGCATGGTATAATGGAATTATTCTTTTTCTTCCATCTGTAGTAAACCATACTTGAAAGTCTGAAATACTTCCACTTGGTGGTTCGTATAACTTTGTAGGTTTTTCGTAAAAGTCATTTGCCAAGCATAAGAAAGAGTTTTGGGCGCCAGAAAATGAAGCATGAACTATAATAGCAGCTGGGTCGAAAACATCTTTAAATAAATATGGTTCATCTCTTGCATATCGACTGTAAATATTTGCTAAAGGAAGTTCGACTTTCTGATTTAACATTCTTTGCAAATAATACCATGACATTGCAGTGAATTCTGTATATATTTGTTCGTCTTTCTTTGGATTGTCTTCGTAGATTTGAAATGACACTTGTGAATTTTGTTTGTCATATACAATTCTCACATAAAGTGTGCTCTCGGTATTTGCATATTCATCAGCATATTTTGCATAACATGAATTTATTTTATCTTCTATATTTTTTAACGCAGTCTGTAGAGAAGATGAAAGGTCAACTTGTATTAGCTCAATTTCTTCCCACATTTTTCGTTTCCCTTCAGATATATAATCTATATGAAACCTTACAATAAATGGAAAACTTTTATCTTCTACAGACACAAACTTCATTCTACGAAAGCCAATAGCTTTTGTGACAGATGGGTCTCTTAGCCATCTTAATGGGTAGTCAAAACGATAGCCTTCATGCTTTACGGTCTCTGTCTCAAACTTTTGACCGACATTAGTAAAAAGTTCATCTAATGGTTTAGTTGTAGCAACTCTTGAATTTTCTTTTTCTATTGGAAGCATATTTTATCTAGAATAAAAATGTCGAAAGAAACAGCGTCTATGAGAGAAATACAACACAACCGACAACTCATTTTGCAAGCTCTAAATAAGAACACAACAAACTTTTCAAACTATTCTAAGATATCTGAGTCATTGAAAGAAGGAAACTTAAAACTGACGATAAACCCAATGACAGACGAGTTTCTGTTTCAAGACAGTAAGAACCATACTGTTTGTATAAATCCAACAAAAAGAACTTTAAACGAGAAACCTATAGATGAACTTCTTTTGAAGGCAGATATTGACAACAAAGCTGACAAAGAGTATGTAGATGCAACAAGAGACTATATTCTCGCATGGACAGATAGAACATACCCACAAAAACATCATACACATAACATCTATGACGTAGATGAACTACCAGAAAAGTTAGATGACAAAGCGGATAAAACATATGTTGACAATAAAATGTCAAGTGAAGTGACAAGAGCTGACAAAGAATATTCTAAAAAGACTCATACACATACCATATCTGATATTACAAACTTACAAGAAACCTTAAACAAGAAAAGTGACGTTGGACATACACACGATTTCTTCGCAACTGTTGGTATAGAAAATATTGAAGGAACGGTTGAAGAAACTGGGGATGTATTAAATTGGAAACCTCCTAACTTTCCACAAGGTTTAACATCGGATAAAGACATTAGATGTGGAAATGTCTATGTCATGGAGGATGAAAACAAAGTTAAATTCACTGCTCAAGATTTATATGATAAAAAAGCTGACAAAACAGAGCTTCAAACGTTAAAGACAGAAATACTTCAAACAGTATATCCTATAGGTTCTATTTACACGTCAATGAACTCTACCAAACCAGAAGTAGTACTTGGTTTTGGAACTTGGACTCAAATAGTCGACAGGTTTTTGTATTGTGCAAACTCTTCAAAGGAAACAGGTGGAAGTAAAACGATTTCAGGTGCAAATTTACCTGCGCACAGTCACTACATAAATTTAAGTACATCTGAAGCAGGTTTGCATAGTCATAGATTTTGGGATTGGTCAGGAATGACAAAAGGTAAAGGATATGATGTTAAAGAGGACGTTAAGTTTGCTATAAATTGTTACTGGAGTAACACTGAGGTAGGAGGAAGCCATACACATCGCATTACAGGGTATACGCAAACAACAGGACAAAGTAAAGACTACATGCCACCTTACATGACAGTTTACGCATGGTATAGAAATGCTTAGTCGTCATGTTCCACTTCTTTAGCATATTCGTCAGGAGTTGTCTTATATTTGTTAGGAACTGTCTTTGAAAGTATACCACCTTGAACCTTAACAAGTTTGAAACGAGGTCTGACAATAGTAGTTTTATCTTCTGCTTGCAGTCTGTACATTTTGCCATGTTTGCCTAAAACTTCATAATATTCTCTTGTATACTTTCTTCTATTTTTACGAACACGAATGCGAGTACCTGTCGAGTTCCCATTGTTGTCATAGTCAATAGTATTTTCATATGGGTCGCGTTTAGGTATTTCTATTTTTACTTTGTCACCTTTCTTAAGTTTGAAGCCTGGTATTCTTTCTTGTTTGTCTCTTTTGACTAAACTATTAAATATATAGTCTTTCTCTAAGTCGGGGTTGTTTTTCATTTCTTCGGGGGAGTGGTTTCCCAAACCTTTTTGTTTACGGCTATTGTAAATATTTAAAACTTGTCTCATCTTTGCCATGGAGAAATGTCTATATTTGTCGTCATATGACATTTCATTTGCTTCACCACCTTGTGGTTGGTTTAAGTCTCTTAAGATTTTTATACAACTGTCAATGACACCAAGAGCAGAATGGTTTTGGTCGACAATGAAATATTGGTTTACATTTTTTGAACGCAGATAGTTTTTAATATCGTCTGATTTGAAAGAACGTTCACAGTCAGATGTCAGTTTTGTTGGATGGTATTTGTCAACGAAGATTGTCAAAGCAGTTTTCACATCTAAAATATTTTTGGACTGTAATGGTATGGCTTCACAGTATCTTGTGTTTTGACCGACAAATATTAGCCAGTATGGAGGTCCATCTGTTCTAACTCTCGGAATGTTTTCCAAGATATCCATAAACCAAGCATTTGGTGTTGAACTAAAGATTTTTACCATGAGTGCTTTTTGTTGCTTTAGAAACATAGGGGTCCTTGTTTGGATTCGTCATTTTTTAACCCATAAGAAATGGGTTTATTTGGCGCATTAGCAGGAGTTGCATCCAGATTTTTGCCCGCAGTGGGAACAATAGCCAGAGGTGTATTTGGAGTTGGAAGGAAGATTTTGAGTACATTAGGTATACTTAAAGAGAAAGCACAACCTATTATACAAACTGTACAGAAAGGTTGGGATGTAGCACGAGATGCAGCAAATCTTATTCCAAATCCTGAAACAAGAGGAAAAGTTCAAGGATGGATGGACAATGTTTCCAGACAAGCAGGAAACTACTATAACAAAGCAAATGACTACTATAACCAAGCAGGGCACTACATGGACCAAGGTGAAAGATTCTTTAACAGAGGATATAACCATGCACAACAGTGGGTAAACAACAACCAACCGCAACCGCCTCAAACTTGGGGAATGTAAATTTTTTTACTGAGATGAAATGAACAATACAGCATTGAGACAAATGGGTTCAAGATGGATTTGTCGACTTCCAGCAGTTACACAACGTGTTTGTCAAGTCCTCCCTATACCTCAGGAAGTTTTAGACCGACTTAAAAAACCTAAACAACCAGTTGAAAACAAACCAAACTAAAATTTTTTACTGAGATGAAATGACCGAAGAAGTTGAAACGGTAGATTTGACACCACAAACAAAAAGTTCAGAACCATTGTCAAAACCTGTCAAAGAACTTACAGATGAAGAGAAAAATTCAATAATAGAAAGTGCCAGGTCTGGAAATACAAACCCTAACTATAAAGTCACTTTTCATAGAAATGGAACGGCTAGTATCTCAAAAAAGAAACAGACTCTCACAAATAAAATATTGAAGTCTGAAGGAGCTTTCGAGACAACAGATGGAAAAGTTTACTTCACTGACCAACAGTTCATTATAGAACATCTCATTGACTTAGAGTCGAAATATTCTAAACTTTACAACAAACACAAAAAGTTGAAAGGAAAACAAAAACAAATGGCATATGATATTTATGAAGATGTTGACAACACAACTGTTCCTGCAGGTGAGGTAAAGTGGAAAAACCAGAATTTTCGAAAAAGTGACACCAACTATTAAAGTTATTTTATTACTAGATTTATTTACAAATTATAAGATAATATCATTAACAAAATATATTTTTAATATAAATAAAAAACTTTTTTTATACAAAAAATTACAATCAATCGATAAATATTATAAAACATTTATTCCAAAAAGATTAAGTAATAGGTGGGATCCTGCATATAATATAATTTTATGTCATAAAGCTTACAAATTTTAGATGGACCACAGTGAGAATGAGTGGTTAATTTAAAGGTGGTCTGATAAAGATATCGAAGCTTACTCAACACAGCATGAAGCAGTTTCTAATACACAATCTTACTAGTGGTGTTTCGGTCGCCAGCGCTCTCATAGGGGTGCTGATTTCAAAAACCACTACTTCAAATTATTCAACAATACTCAATGCAGCATGAAGCAGCTACTACTGCTGTATCTTACTGGTAGCGTTTTGGTCGTTGGCTCTTGCACAGTCTCTCAGATTTTCAAATTTTTTTTTCAACACTATCTTGTTTCGCTCTCAGAAAGCTATCCTACAAAGACATCGAAGCTTACTCAACACAGCATGAAGCAGTTTCTAATACACAATCTTACTAGTGGTGTTTCGGTCGCCAGCGCTCTCATAGGGGTGCTGATTTCAAAAACCACTACTTCAAATTATTCAACAATACTCAATGCAGCATGAAGCAGCTACTACTGCTGTATCTTACTGGTAGCGTTTTGGTCGTTGGCTCTTGCACAGTCTCTCAGATTTTCAAATTTTTTTTCAACACTATCTTGTTTCGCTCTCAGAAAGCTATCCTACAAAGACATCGAAGCTTACTCAACACAGCATGAAGCAGTTTCTAATACACAATCTTACTAGTGGTGTTTCGGTCGCCAGCGCTCTCATAGGGGTGCTGATTTCAAAAACCACTACTTCAAATTATTCAACAATACTCAATGCAGCATGAAGCAGTTTCTAATAAATATATACATATATAAATATATACATATATAAATATATACATATATAAATATATACATATATAAATATATACATATATAAATATATACATATATAAATATATACATATATAAATATATACATATATAAATATATACATATATAAATATATACATATATAAATATATACATATATAAATATAAATATACATATATATATAAATATATAAATAACTAAATATAATCAAAAAATAGTGTTTGGAAATTTAAGGTTAAGTGTCACTTTTTCTACTGTCACTTTTTCGTAAATTCTACCACACTCGAAAGGAAAACAAAAACAAATGGCATATGATATTTATGAAGATGTTGACAACACAACTGTTCCTGCAGGTGAGGTAAAGTCAGAGGAACCGAAAAGTGACGAAAAACCGATAGAAGAAGAAAAACCAAAAACTGAAGATAAACCAAAAACAAAGTTTAGTTTCCAAACTAAACCAAGTCAACCTTCATTAGCTGGTATGGGTTGGCGTCAAAGACTTATGGCAGCAGGCGGTTATGTTAGTAAATAAAGAAAAAAATATTTTTTTATTTTTATAAAAATGCCCCCGTATAGAATGGATAGAAAATCTGCTAGAATAAAAGCAGAGTTAGAAAGATATGGTTGGAAAGTTTCGAAGAATTTTAAATATAGGAAGGGAAGACCCATAAAAGTCTATGACAAATTGTCTGGTCTTCGCTATGAAATGGACTTAGAAACAGCACGCGCAAATTATCCAAACAGATTAGAGAGGTTAGAAGAAGAACGTCTTATGGACATGCCTTTCGATGTTAGTGAACCTCAAGTTGAAGGACACGACGGCTTTGCCAGATTCTACTGGAAACATGACGAACAATTGCATCCTTTGAGAAGGAAAAAAGGAAAAGGTGAAGACACATGCTCCCATGGAAAGAACAAGATATGCATATGAAAAGTACCGTGAAGTTAGAAGTCAAATTACATCTGGTCGAACCTTTACAGTAAACTTTGACGAAGGAAAGAACAAAGAAGGCTTCATGGGAGTACTTGCTGCCATTACAAGACGGAAATAAGAAAGGATACAATCTCAGATTGACCATAACAGATTTGGACGGTCATATTACTATGCACATGGCAATGTCACAACAGCCTGCAACTTCTTGACGCTTTCAAGACTACAAAGAGAGAACAAATGGTTGACTCCGACTCAGACATTTTGAATGCAATTGAAGGAATTGCAAGTGTCAAGTTTCGAATGGTACCAACCTAACCCTCAGCAGTCAGACAACATGCTGGATACTTCCCGTTCATAAATAAGTCTGACATTGACTTGACAAGGTATGGAATTTACAATTCAATTGAAACAATTGTCAATGAACCTTGTATTCTTACATGTCTCAGGAACTCTGGTCTTGTTACAGATGAGAAGATGAAGTATCTTGAGTCATGTGTGAAGACAAGGTACATTCTCAGAGGTCAATTGGCAAAAATTGCACCGTTGGCAAATGTCAATATCCGAGTCAACATACCTACAGCTAAAGGTTCTTCACATGACGACTATGTTGTTGACAAAGACTTACCATGGTTGAAGATTGTAATTGTCCACAACCACTTCATGTTGAACGAAAGTCTTACAAACCCATTGTTCGGAAAAGGCAAGTGCAACATTGTCAGAGCTGTAAACATTCTTTTCGAGAAAGGTTTGTTGGAACCAATTCCAGATGACAAGCTGACAGAAACTTTTGTACCAAAAGACGAAACAAACTTTTCATTGTTAGCAAGACCAAAAGTTGTTCCAGACAAAGTTCTAGCACAAAAGAAGTACACAGTTCCAAAAGGAGTTGGATTGTTCGGATACCAACCTGAACCAGAAGAACTTCCAATGAGGTTGCAAGAACTTCAAGATGCTATAAACAAACTTCCATTGAGACATCCAATTGACGTCAAATTGTATTGGAGAGCATCTGAGTTAGGTCAGAAGGTTTTATATGAAACAGGTTGCTTCGACGATGTTTATGAGATAACAGGAGAAGTTTCTCAGAAGATAAGAGACTCACTTGAATTTCCACGAACTGGACCCATTGGTTGCGACAAGTTCGACTCAGATGAAAAGATATACTATGTCGACCTTAACGCTGCGTACATGAGGTTCGTCCAATATATCCCGACTGGAATTCCAAACGAAGATGGTGAGTTCCCAGGAAGGAACTATACAGTTGGAAAAGTCATACAACAACTGTATGATATTAGGAAAGCTTCAAACCCCAAACTTGCAATGACACTCAAATTGCTTATGAATTCGACATGGGGATATTCCATTAAGAAACCTCAAGAGATGAAGAGTAAACATATGAGAAGGTCGACAACTTTGTTGAAAGGTTTTCTCCTTTTGTTTTGAAGTACGAATTCACTCAAGGTCAAAGTGGCTTAGTAACCACATTAAAACCTATTGTCGAACATTGGTCTTACCCTCAGTTCGCAAAGGCAGTCCTTGACAACTACAACAAATTCTTCTCCGAAGTCAAATCCAAAGTGAAGGTTTACTATGAGAACATTGACGCACTCATGACGAACGAAGAAGGCTATAACAAACTCATTGAAATGGGAATGGTCGGTGAAAAGATGGGTCAATTCAAATTGGACAAAATTTTCACCGAAGTTCATGTCCTCTCCAAGCGTAAGTACTGGGGCATACTTGAAGACGGCACAGAAATAAAACATTGCATGAAGTAAAAAATTTTTATTCGAATTTGAATCGGACAGGTCGAGTTACACCATTCTTGGTCTCAAACTCATATATAACCTGTTTGTTTATTTTCGTCGACTATGGCACGAGACACGAACATTGACCAAACGGACAAAAAGTGTCATTTCAGATGGTCCCGCAGCCAATCGCATTCGAGCACTTCGAAGAAGCCTTACGTTCCAAGGGAGAGGGTGTCTGGTGCAAGGCAGAGGTCATGAGACTCTACGAGCAGTACATCCTCAATGCCTGGGAGGACAAATCGTCCTTGGATTGGCAATTCTACCAACTCCTCTGGGACGACCTCCTACGCAACTGGGATGACGAAAGAGTCCAATTCAGAGGTCGGAACTAGTCCAAATTACCTTAATTTAAGCCACTTAAAACTAAACACCTAAATTTACTCGGGGTTTCCCCCTAAAATAAAATTTTTTTACTCTTAGAACCACTCGAGGTTCTCCTTACGGTTGTTGAGCTTGTCACCGTCAATGTGTCTGACCTTCGTCTTCTTGTGGATTTGGAACCCATTGAATTGCGACAAGCTTGCCCATGGAATTGAACCGAATTCCGAAGGGTAAGGTTCAAGTGTCCCAAGTTGTTGAGGACTGGGGTAAGAACCTTGCCGTCTCCTTGTTGCGGATTTGGTATGGGTAGGGTTGGGAAATTTCGTAAGTGTCATCGGCAACAAGGGTTGCCCAAACTTCCTCTTCTTCGTGTTTCTCTTCTTCCTCTTCTTCCTCTTCCTCTTCTTCGTGTTTCTCTTCTTCCTCGACAATTCCTTCTTCAATTCTGTGTTCACGAAGTACGGTGTTGGAGTTCTGTCCTTTCCGAGTACCTTCCAGATGGCGTCTATCTCTTCGAAGAAACGGTAGATGAGTCTGGCAAGGTCTCGGTTCTCTCTCTCGTAAATGCGCAAGGTTTCCGTCAAATCATTCAGGCATTTCTCATTGGAAGCTTGGTTCATGAGGAACTCACTTTAGTCTTCATCTCTTCCATAAGACTACTTTGGAGAGTCTTAACGGTGTTTGTCAGATGAGCTTTCAAATTCAAAATTTGAATTTGAACTGGGCGCTTGTCTGGCAACATTGAAAGGACATCTGCCATTGTGTTCGGCTTCGGTGCTTGTTCGGACATCGAAAAAATGAAGTGGTTTGAGAATGACGGTTTTACTTCAAAAAGCTTGTTATGACGGTTAAGTCATACAACAAGTTTAAAATAATATCTTGTTCTTCTTCTGAACGTTTGTTGTCTCTTCCGATAAAAGTTTCGAACATGAGAACCAAAAAACGTTTTTTGAGATTGCGGAAGAGTTC